CATTTATATTAACACCTATCAGGTGTATAAAGGATGTAGCTTGAGCACCATTGAAGATAAATAAATAAAAACAAAAATTTTCTTAAAGCAGTAGAATGATATTCGATTTCAGAGTAGGGCTAGATTAATTCCAGTGTGACAAAAAGGAGATTAATTCTAAAGTCATTTCTAACTAAGAACTGTAAAATCTACTATATTAAGTGGAAAAACACGGTAACTTTTTTTTCTCAGAAGACTAGGACTTCCACAAAGCAAGCAACATAAAGTTACATCATTCTGAAACATAAAACACAAAATAATGCCTCTTTCATCTACTTTCAGAAACTTGAATAAAAGTAGGCCTTTCAAAGGTGACTGAGGGAGTATGACTTTGGCCATATTACTGAGTGCATCATATACATGACACAATTTTGGATAAGCCAATAAAACATATCAACATATTTGTAAGGTCATATTGTCTTCCTGACCCTATAATACTGATTTTCAATATTTTAATGTCTTCAGAATACAAGAAAAAACACTTTATTAATTTAAAGTATCAGGCTTTGATTAACTAAACAATGATTTATTTTTTACAAAATAAATTTGAAAAGGAGAGCTATCCAATAATATAAGCAGTTTAACATAAGCAGTTTAAATCGAAATAAGCCTTTCCCTACATTACATAACTACATGAGATTCATGATGATTAATAATTACTAAGTGTTGGAAATGGAAAGGGTAGAAAGTTCTTTACATTTGGGTGGGGTAAGTAGTAATATTCAGTCTGCCACTTTTTAAGTGTTTTCTCTGTTATAGATAATTTTCCAAATGTTTTACATGAATTATTATCTCATTTAATCTTCAAAGCAGCACTGACACTTAAGGGTCTATTAATAACATCATTAAAATGTAAATAAATTTAGAGTCAAAGTATTTATGTCTTTGCTGGATTGTTCCTAAACCAATTGTTGTAAGAGAGCAGCTCCTATTACATCCCTTTGAGAAGGTAGTTTTTCTTTCTAATATAGTATTGTCATCATTTTTACTGAGCTTATTACCTTTGGAGAAAGAGCTAATCACTGTGATTGGATTAAGAGATTAAGACAAAAACAAATATTTAAAATGAATATTTTTTGTTAAATAATATTTACATCAATATCAGGACATCCTTAGGGAGGCATGAGTACTTCCAGCTAATTCTATTGTTGTCTCAACAATGAAATGATGTAAAATATTTTTTGTTTCACTAAAGATTTGTTTTCTTGACAATTAAAAATCAAGTCCTGAAGTTTCATACACCCTGCCCAGCCTTTGTATTGGAGGCAATGGGCCAGACAAAAAAATAGGTGAAGGGACTGAAGACAACAAGAAGTGTCTGTAGTTGTGTGTCTTACACAAACTGTCTTCTCCAAGCAACTTCTTATTATCAGTAGACTAGGACTTGTTCTTTCCGACCCCAGAGCATTTGCACATTTTCTATTCACATGCCCCCTCCTTATTTTATATTCCTTAAGTCTCATTTCAAATGCCTTCTCAGTGAGAAAATCTTTAATTTTTCCTCTATTCAAAACTAATCACTCTAAATCCCTAATGTATTTGTTTATTGCACTGCCTTTCAGTTATTTTTATTTCCAAAAATTGCACTCTATGTAAATCACTGGACCAGGTGTTAACATAAATATTAGTATGAAACATTTATTGAGCACTATATCTGAGCCAAGCAATGCCCCAAGCACTTTATGGGTAATATTTTACAAGTAATTTGACAACTAACCCAGGACCTCTAAGTAACAAAGGCAGAACTCAAACCCTGGCATGAAACTCCATAGACTATCATTCTGCCTCCCTTTGGACCATGTTTGTACTGCCCGGTATTGCAGTTGCTCAGTCTATAAACTCACACAAGACTTGTTTTTGCTCCCTCCAGTTTCTACATTAGCATATTGCATAAAGCAGGTGCTCAATAAGGAGTTTCACAATTTATTAGTGCTCAAGGCATGGAACAACCCTGAAATCTTGAATAAGATGTAAAGAGACATTTGTCCATCCTGAAAGGGCATTTGCTTTCATTTGAAATGGATTTCAATGACCTACTCTACTGTAAGCAAAGGATATGATTTTTGTCCATGATAGCTTTTTTTCCCGTTCAATGCTATCCCTGCTTTCACTGAGAGCCTAGGTATTCAGAGGACAAGTGAGAAACTCTTCCTTTTCTTTGACATAGACTTTCAGGCTTTGTGATACAGACACATGTAACAGTTTTGCTGCATAACTAATTACTAATTAATACTTTAAAAAAATTATTATTTCACAGTTTCTTTGTACATAACTCTGAGCTTGCCTTTGTTGTATTCTCTGTTCAGAGTAAGGCAGAAAATGTGCTGCAAAGGCTCTGTTCCACTCTGCAGCTCAGGGTTCTCTTTTCACCTTGCGTGGCTGTTGGCATAATTCAGTCCCATGGTTATAGGACTGAAGTCCCTACTTTCTTGTGGGCTATGAGCCAGGGGCTATTCTCAGCTCCTACAACCCATCTATCCTTTACTTCCATGTGGTCCTCTCCACAACACAGCACCTTGATTGTTTGCTGCAGCTTCAAATTGTTCTGACTTCTTTTGTCTCTGACATTGTAGAACCTGTTTAAAAGGGCTCACCTGATAAGCTCAGACCAGCTTATGTCAGGAGAGGGTAGGAATCTTGGGGCTATCTTAGGATTCTGTATACCGTAAAAAGAATACACTATTATGCTTGACTTTGAAATATCCAATGTAATTATTTACTACTTTTTTCCCACAGCCTGGTGAGAGTCAAAGAGGCCCCAGGGGACCATATATACCTGGACCACTTCCTCCTGCTCCTCTACTACCTCCTCCTTTTGGCCCGGGACTTGTTCCACTACATCCTCCTTCATCCCGTGGTCCAGGAAGAATTCCACCACCCTTTCTTCCTTCCCCTTATGGCCCAGGTTATGCACAGCCACCTTTCCAACCAAGACCCCGTCTATCTGTAGCTCCATGGTTCCCTGTGCTTCCTCCAGTTTATGCTCCTGACACAATTCCTTCATCCCCAATACAAACAAATACAACAGGTGCCAGTGCCACCGGGACAGGTGCCACCACCACCACAACTGCTTCTATTACCCAAAATGTGATTTCCAATACTTCTTAGAACCTCCAGGATAAAATCATTTCCATTTTTGAATAAGAGTGAAATATTTCAAAAGTTCTGAGCTTCTGAGAGAAATAATCTTAGAGAGAAAATGTGAGACAACCCCCAATCATTATATACCAAGAAGTTTAAAATAAAGAGCTGAGCAACAATATGAAGCCTCCACTATTGTCATGAGAGCCATCAGTTTGTCTGCAATTATGTCACTCAAATGAAGATTAGTGTCACCAGAAACCAAAGAGGTAATTAGGGAAAAATGCAATGAGATAGCTGGACTTGCAGCTTAGGGTGATGAAGTAGAAAAGTAGGCAAGAAGATATCCTCTTAAATACTGCAACATGTCACACAATTACAAAGCACAAATAACATGTTAATAGTTATTAAATCTAAGTAATCTTAGCCAGACCCACAGCATGCCCCCTGAAAATTCCTAAGTGCTATCTAATCATTACTCACATATAGGCTTTAATGTAAACTGTTAAATTCTAGAGAAGAAACATCTTTCTAGCAAATCTATGTATGTAACTGATACAGGAGACACAAGTCTTGGAATTTGATATGGAAAATAATTTTGCAAGCTAAGGAAGAGACAGGAGATGGTTTCAGATTTCAACAAGAGGCTGATGGTTAGATTTCTAACTATTAGTTAAAGTTTTAATCAAAAGTATTACAATATGACTACTTAGAAAATGGCCTAATTTTGTGATGAGAGCTGTATATTTCTATTTTTAACTGTTGCCATATAAAATTGCATTTTTCCTTCAGGACACTTAACTTCCCACATTTCCATCAAACCAAACACTTATAAATTAACACTTCCCAAAGACATTTATAGTGAACCTAAATTTATATGTGCTTAATGCTCTCTTTCATTCCACAGATAACTTTTTGAGAATCTACCATGACACAGGAACTGTTCTGTTTCCTCTAGTAGCTGAGCAAACAGCAATAAAGAAGGCAATCAAGTTGCTGTCCTCATGAAACTCACATTCTAGTGAGTGAGACATAAAAAAAAGCACACACATAAATAAAATTTAAGACATGGGAAGGCTTTGAAAAATAATAAAGAAGGTGTAGGGAGATGCCAAATAGTGATGATTGCTTATTTACATAGGATATTCAGGGATAACATCTCTGATAAGTGATTTTTTAGGAAAGACCTGAAGAATGTTAAGAAACAAATTATCTAGACAGAGTATTCAAGGCAGAAGGGATCAAACACATAAAAATCTGAAGCAGCAATGGATTTTGTGTGCAGGAGGATCTGAAGAATGTTAATGTGGCTCACACTCAGTGAGAAAGAAGGAGAGTGAAAGGAGATAATATCAAGAAGGCAGAGACAGAACACATCATAAAGGACTTTGGATTCTGAACTTTATTCTACATGTTACCAAAAGATGTAGCAGGTTTAAATGAGGGGATCACATTACATGATTAATATTTTCAAAAGTTCATCACCATGGCTGCTCTAGGGATACCAGTCTGTTAGGAGAGCAAGAGTGGAGGCTATTTCAGGAGTCGGTGAGAGAGGTGGTTACTTAGACTAGGGTCAGATTAATAACGATGGGAAGACGTAATCCGACGTAGGATACAGCCTAAAAGTATATTCAAAAGTATTTGATGATGTGTTGGATCTTGGGATTGAGGAAAAGAAATATGGTCATACGTCACTGAACGACAGGGATATGTTCTGAGAAATGCGTCCTTCGGCGATTCCATCCTTGTGGGAACATCATAGAGTGTTCTTACACAAACCTAGATGGTATAGCCTGCCACATTCCTAGGCTTCAGGATATAGCCTATTCCTCTGACCACCATCATATATGTGGTCCATTGTTGACCAAAACGCCATTATGTGGTGCATGACTGAATCTAAAAATAACTCTGATAATGTTGGCTTAAGCAACTGTGTGAATAATGTGTTATTTAGTGAGAAAGAAAAGACTGAGAAAAGATCAAGGTGTAAGGATTTGGAGTATCGTAAATTCTGCTCTGGACATGTTAAGATTCAGGTATCTATTTAACTTCTGTATAATTTCTGTGTTGCTATCATACCATATTACCACAAATTTAGCAGCTTAAAACAGCCCAAATTTATTATCTCACAATTCTATAGATCAGAAATCCGGGTATTGGTATGGCTCATCTAGTTCCTCTGCTTATAGTCTGACAAGGTTGAAATAAGGTATAAGTGGGACTGTGTACCTTTTTTGAAAGCTTTGGAGGGAATCTGTTTTGAGGCTCATTCATCTCTCCTATGCATATCTTCTTGATTCCTCTTCTGCCACATCTCTCTGACTCCAGTCAGAGAAATTTATCAGTTTTTAAGATAAATTTCCACCTACTGGTTATTTAATAAAAGGCAGTATAGAGTAGACAGAGAGTTTAGTGCTTCGATTGGGAATTCAAAGCAATGCAGTTGTTGGTAATGCAATGTCTAAGGGATTACCATGAGAGTGTTTGAGATAAAAGAAAACAACGCTGACCTTTGAAATCCAAACGTTGGCAATAAGGAGGTGAAGGAATTGAGAGGCCATGGCATAGGACAATCATTTACAGGGATGTTGAAGTCACCAAAAGTGATAATGAAGGGGCAGTGGAGAAGAAGACAGTGACTGAAGTGGTAAACTCTTTTATGAATGACAAGCAGTGACTGTGTGACAAGAAAATTACTGCAATGAAGTGTAGTGAGGGTGTATGGTGTTCTGGAAGCCTCTTCAAAGCTGGGGTGATGGAGAGGAGAAGAGATACACCTGGAAATAGCAAAGAAGGCAAGGTCATCGACCTGAATCCAAAGCCCTGTGGAACAGTGTCTGGGGAAAATGCAGCCACCTCAGCTGAGTACTCTGTAGAAGCAGTGTTTTTGTGATAAAGACAGGTTTTGAGTTTTGTAATCTATTACCACAAAGACTTGGAAAAGAAACTGACAATGTAGAGAATCATACTGACGAATTTTCATGAGTTCTAGAAAGCACAGTTGATGTTTGTGAAATAGGGGAAAGATGAAAGATTGGAGCAGACTAGACAATGACATACCCTTCTGGCAACGAGAGTCTGGGTATAGGTGGATATCTAAAGGCTTGGGATGCTGGAGGAGTAAGACAAACAAATGTAAGACAGGACAAGATGAGTCCTTATGGTCTCTTAGGCAAGGGAGGTCTATCCGTTGTAATTATATCTTCCTATTCAGAATTGTTCTGTCAGGGTGAGGAGCTCTTAACAAAAGCACCCAAAACTCAGGAAGACTTCACTTCAATGTTTTCTTAATTCATTCAATATTATTAACTGACCTTCATGTGCCAAGAACTGTTATATTACCCGGAACAAATAACAGATCAAAAAAGACTGAGATCTTTGCCCTCCTGAGTCTTAGAGAATGGCAAGGAGAAGATTGTTTATTTCTTTTTTTTTTCTGTCAATATCATGAACAATTGTTATTAACTCAATTTCTCCTTGATATTATTTGGTTAGCAAATCCTATTGCTTTACAAGTTTTGGTGACTACAAAGAGGGAAATACCTGTGGATTATTACAACATCTTTAAACAAACCCACTTATCAAAGGCATCTTGGAATTCATTAAAAATTCATTTGATTAAAATTGTAATATCACCAAAAAAAGGAAGATACAAGAAATTCCGATCTATATGTAGCTGGGAAAATATTATATTTTAATAATTCATAATTCTCAGTTTCTGCATTTCTCTTAGAAAGTATCACAAGTTCCATGTAGGTCATGGACATGCCAAGACAATGGGAGCCGAGTTCCTTTAACATCAGGCAAATGCATGCCTCAAGCACTTTCAACCACTCACTGGCATAAGAGGAGGACAGGAAACACTAATAGTGAGAAGGGTCACTAGATAACAGGTTTATTGGAAGGGGAGAATTATTAGAGTGAGCTGGAAAAGTAAAACTAGGGTGGCAGAGGGTTCACTGTCTGAAATTCAGAATTTACAGGCCATACAGAACCAGTATCTGTAATTTGCTGCTTTCTCAAATGCTCTGTCTCCAGATACTAACATTTTGATTGTTTTTTTATTTTTTTATCATACACATATACACACACATCTGCAACCACCATCTTCTCATTTGCAGCCATTTTAACCACTAGATGTAACATTATCCCCATCTCATTGTAAGCAGGTGTACTGACAAGAAAGCTCCCTCATCAAAAATCACCTCTTTTTATTTTTTTATTTTTATTTTTTTTATTTTTATTTTTATTTTTTTTTTGTCTTTTGTCTTTTTTCCGTGTCCGGCAACGGATCGCAACCCTCAGTGTTGCCCCCGTACCGGACCGGGGACCGGCAACGGGATCGCAAGCCTCGGTGTTGCTCCCGCGCCTCGCTCAGCCAGTGAGCGGGAACCGGTCTGTATGTGGGATCCGAACCCTCGGACGGGAGCGCCGCCGCGCTTCCCAAGCGGCGCACTATCCAGTGCGCCACTGGGCCGGCCCAAAAATCACCTCTTTTTAAAGTGTTTGTCTTAGAAAGTGCCTGCACCAACATATCTCTGCTGCTGCTCCAAGTCCCTTTACAGTAGCTAAACAATTTTGTCAAGTCCATTTTAATCTTTCATTCAGTAAATATGCATTAAGAATGCACTATGTATCAGAAGTTTACAGTAAACTGTGTGTATAAAGTTAAACAGACACAATCCCTACCCTCAAATTTTATATTGATTCTTCCAGGTCTGGCAACATGTCTTCAAGTTTTCTTACTTTTTGCTCAAATAAGGAGACAACTTTAACAAAAAATAAATGAATACACATCTCTCTCCCACATGTCCTATAGGAAAATGAAACTAATCTTGGGGATCAAGTGATTTGCAAGTCACTCCCTTAATTACATTTGCCTACTTAGGATTCTGAGTCCCTGCTACTAACTTTCCTCCCAGTCTTCTGTTTCCTAATTCTTGTTAGCCACAATCTCCACTCAGCGACAGAGCTCTCCCTTCACAGTGTGCCTCGTCACTCTCATGCTTCCCTCCTGTTGTTCCCCAGACAACCGTCTGTCTACCTAATACTGTATCAGCCCCTTCTACCATGTGTTCTATGAGCAAGTCTCCCTCTGTCTTGAGTTTTTCCCTCAAGTCATAAACTAACTACACCTGGCTTCTTCTTGACGATAGCACACACAACCTCTCCTTTAAAAACTACCATTTATTCCACTCACTATAATTATATATCTCCAGGACATTTTGCCTGCTACCCTAACCACATCCAGATCCTTCCACTAATGTCTTCATTTAATAATTTATTCTCTTTTCACAGTCACTTATCACCTACGTTTTCTCACCTAAGTCACAAACCAAACTCTAGGACATGTTCCCATCTTTCTCAGCCAGTGTTAAACCCTGACCCATTGTCTTCTTCCTACACCTGCTTCAGTCACATTCCCCACCACCAAGTTTTCATCCCTCCTGAGTTCTAGTTTCAGAGTTTCTGTTCATGTAACCTTCCATAACCCCCCAATATCACTTAAGCCAATCACCAGAAGACTTTTTCCTTAGTTACAAACATCCCATTCCTTCATCTCAAATCTGAGACTCTAGAACCATCTTCTCTGACCAATATTCCTATCTTTCCAATTTCTCCCCACCGCCCGCCATCTATTAAATAACCTCTACAACCTCAGCAGGAGTATAATATTCTACTGGTTTCCTGGTCTGTAATTACCATCTGAAGTTCACTTGCTTCCATTTTCTGCCTGGATTCTAATGTTGAAAAAGTTACATTGTTATAGATCTTACTCGGTAAATATTTTTCAGTTAATAATAATAATAATAATAATAAATGAATATATTGATATAAAACATTTAATAACAATAACTATCAACTATTGTAAGCCAACTACATGCTTGAAACTGACAAGGCAAAATATGGATGGATGAATAGATGGATATATGATAGACAGATGTAGATTAGATATAGATATGTCAACTATTCTACAATACATTTATTAGCATTTTCCATTTATAAGATGAGGCTCAGAGAACTAAAGCAACTTCACTGAGAATAAGCATCTAATTAGTGGCAGAGCCAGGTTTTCAACTCAAGCAGATCCAAATCTGATACCCATATTCACTGCACAATGCCTCCAATTTCTAACATTCCCACATAGATTTTTATGTCACAGACAAATCCCACTATCTACTTTCTCTGCTCTCACTCCCATGTCAACAAACACTGCTGAGGAAAATCATGAATCTATGCTCTCTGGACAGGTTACACATTCCTGCCATTTACTACAATAAGCTCACTTTATCACTCCCTCTCCTCTATACTGTGAGCAGCCTGAGAACAAAAGTATAGATTGCTCATCTTTATAAATGTGCAAATTAAGGGTCAGATATTTTGCAAATGAAAATAAACTGACTCCCTGAGCCAGGATGAAATAACAATGTAAAGAAGACACCACATACACCATTCCTCTTACTCCATCACCACATGTCAGTTAAGTACACAGGATTTGTCTAAGTCTATTCACAAGGATAAAGTGATCTCACCTAGATCCCTGTTAGGTGCTCCTAATTTTATTTACTTATAGTGCTGCTTTGTAGTGTTTACTTCATAATGGCAGCCTTCTGAGGGTAAATGTCTTACTGCGATGTCATCCATCACCACCAGTTCCAGACAATATGGATGTAGCAACACCGAGATGAATGGGACTTCAGAATATTTACCATGTGCCCATGAGGGCCAAGTAGAAGTTTAGGAATCTTGTCCTTTGATAGTGGGCTTAAGAAATCCACAAATATTCAGGAAATCCTATATGAATATAAACCAAAGGAACACTCATAGAATATTTATTCTAAAGAATCATTTTGAAAGAATCTCAAATCTCTTGGAGAATTCCTAAAGTGAGGAAAGGAGTTTAACTGTCAAAAAAATTCAGATTATAGCAGGAACCCTAGGGTGTCAGGGGAAAATCCATTTCCTTCTTTTTCTGGACACACAACTAGAATACATTTCCCAGCCTGAATTACAATTAGGTGTAGCCATGTGCTGA